GACCAAAACCCCAAAACCCCAAAACCCCTTATGATTGAATTTTCAAACTATTTAAAAACTATTAGTCATAAAATTAAGTTTTATGTTTTTAATGCTTAATTCATTTTTTTTCTCTTGACCAATCTCTAATTGAATTTCTTGAAGGCAAATTGCTTCTTCTAGGTGATTTATAAATAGGTAACGGGGGAAATTTTTCGAACTTAGGAATAAACTTATAATTTATTTCAACCTCCTTAGGTTTTTCCTCCTTTTAAATTTTCTTATCAGTATCCTGTGCAATTAAAATATCTTTATTCGCCTTAGATCTTTGAGTTTGACTTCCTATTATCTTCAATATAGTGTTCTAAGCTTTTTCATTCATTTCTTCAGGTTAAAGTAAAGGTCTTAATACAGATTTTTGTTTTGCCATATTTGTAAATGTTTTATTAAATTGGTTTTTTTCATTGTCTTTTTTCTTTGGGGACTCAGAAGGTTTTAGTATCTCATTTAAATCTAAGAATTTTTACTTAGTGGTTCTAAAAGGTCTATAATATCCCTCTTCTAAAGCCATTTTGTAATCTTTTTGCTTATTTATTATTGGTAGTTGATGAATAATGACATTTTCGAGGTTAGTATCATCTAACTCGTTATGCTCACTGCCTCTCTTGGTCTTTCCTTCTTCATTTGTGCAATATAAATCAAAGCTTTATGGATCAGATGACATTAATATCATTTCCATTTGCTTATAATCTGGGATTCGGCTATTTAAGTCATTTTCTTGCTTTTGCTTTAAGGAATCTTCTTTTTTATATTAGAATATCATTTACCTGCATTATTTAAGCTGATTTGCTGTCTCTATTTACCTCAATTAGATTATTTTGTTTTCAATGAAATTTTTCTCTTTAACAATAGCAGCAACAAGCCTCTCTGTTCCTCCTTACGATTAGGATCGCTCTTAAAGCTATTTTTGTGAAATATGAATGAAAGGCTATTTTAGGTGAGTCAAATTGGGAGATATCGGTGAATTATTACTTGCGTAGCTCTTAGTTTCTTGAGTTTTGGCTCGTGGTGAGTACTCTACTCCATTCATATTTTCAATTACAGACTTTTGATTTTTTTAGATTTAATTATAAATGCTTTCCTTATATCTTTCCTTTTTTTCTAAATAATCCTCATGACTCAATTGATCCCAGAAATTTAGCTGATCATTCTAACTTTGATAATTTGGCTTTAGTATTTAGCTATCGTTTGATAGTCCCTCTGTTTAAATATCATTATTAAGCTCTTTTTAATGATTTAGGCTAATGCTTTATCTGCTCAATGGTGTACTTTGTTTAAGTAATGGAGATCGCACTATTATTAGATCCTTATTAAAGCTATTAATAGGTCGATGGAATGGATTTTCTCGTTTTATGGAGATATATGGTCTAGATTAAGATTATCTACTTATCCTGAGTGTCTATTGTATGCTTGGCTTCATATCAGTAAATTCCTGTTCTGCTTTATTCTCTTATTCCTTTTTTGATTCTGGAGACTCAATTTCCTCTTTCATTTCCTTTTTGTCCTTTAAAGAATCGAAATAATCTTCTTTAAGCATTTCTTATTGACTTTTTTATTAGATCTATCTCAATAATTCCTCGTTACATCTCTACCTTTATTCTTGGATTCTAATTTTTCTATCTAGTTCCTTTTAAAACTATTTTTTCTCATAGTTATGTTATTATTGTAGTGTAAATTTTAACATTAATTTAGTCTTTATTGAATTCTACTTTTATTCACCTTCAAAGAATTTCTCGCTATGACTTTTCTACATCCTCATACAATTATGTTGATCGACTATATTCAACTCCCTCAGCTAGCTCTAGATTTGTAGCAGCAATTAATTATTTTCTTCTTGAATCTATATCTGCTCTAAATCCAATCCCTTTTTCTTCAATACCTCATCTATGTCCATTGCTGATGACATATTTCTCATTTCCATAAATTGAAAATCATAGGTCTCATACAAATCAAATTCACTACTCTTCAACTCCTCATATCTTCTTCTACTAAACTCTAATAGCTTCACATCACTGTTATCGTTATAATATATTTAAATTGAGCCAGTCTTATCCACTTTTGGATTGATTTTATCAACTTCGTACATATAGAGATTTCCGTTGATTTTTAACTTTAAAATCTTTCCTGCCCATATCAATTTGTAATTATCCATTGATTACTTGAGCATTTCATTGAGTTTGTCTGATTTTATAGAATTCCACAGTATTTGACAATTTGGAGTAATTGGCTTAATCTCTATTTACTTAGCAAATAAAATGCCATCTACCTCTGTTTGATTTAATTTTCTCACGAAAACACCATTTATCTTTGAGATTTAAGCAAGATTCTGTAACCATTTTGGAAGTTATATCGAATCTTCAATCTTATCAGTGAAACCGCCTAACCAACACAGCTAACTTTGACTAAATAGCATTGATTCTTGTTCAAATGTTGACTAATCTTTGACAATTAACTTAGTTTTAGACCTTTTAAGAACTTAAGATGTAAGTTTGTTCTACTGATAAGATTTAGGCAAATATCTTCTTTAGATATCTTTGTTTATCTTAAGTGACTCATTTGGCTAAGTTTCCTAATCTTTTGGCTTTTGGATTGAAGGTCTTAATAATTTAAATGGCAATTATTGATTTAGATAAGTATTGACAGGCTTTATTTCCATTATAAGAGTTTTAGTTTAGACCAGTATTTCAAATGCTTTCCTCTCTTATAATGATAATTCTTTAAGAATAGACCTTGGCAGGATTATCATATCAGAGTACTCAAAGTTCTCTAATTTTTTATCGAAATCTTTTGTATATAAGAAAAGTCTCTAAAATTCATTCTAGCTTTCTTCTCTCATTGTATTTATATCTATTTTTTTCTAAGTATTAACTTCAGATTGCCTAGATTCCAATTCCACTATTTTCATTAAAGAGTCAGAGTTATATCTAGCTGTCTGTGGATAACGATTTTAAATGTACTCTTCATTTCTATTAGGGCACCTATTATCAATTTATAAGTTGAACAAGTTCTTATCCTGCAATTTCATTTATATTATTTAATTTTAATTATTCTTAATACTTTTAAATCGTGGGTTTTGGGGTTTTGGGGTTTTGGGG